AGCAGGGGATATATCCATAGTACATAACATGCAGTTGTACTATGGATCATTTAAAGTCACCTGTCCCTTTTTAAAAAGTATCGGTAATTGGTATCGGCAAGTACATGAGGGGAAGTACTTGTACTTGATCCTGAAAAAGTGGTATTGGGACATCCCTATGTGAGGTGATCAATTGGTTTTGCAATGAAGATCATTTTAAAAATGTAATTACCCTGAACTGCGCGAAGTCTGAATAAGTTGTGTCAAAGGTCTTCTTATGAGCTTCCAAGAGCATGCTAATAATTTTCTGTTGTTCCTCTGACATTTTAGGTCTTTGAGACTCTCGCAGTGCTTCTTCTTCTTTACGTTTCAGTATCATCTCCCTCTTTCTCTGGACCTCTTCATCTGTGAGGATAACTATATGAAAAAAAAAGAGTCTTATGTAATTCCTGTGATCAAAATCAAACTATAAATTTCTGAACACACAGATCACAAAGCTTGTTAAACAACTAGTAATCAAATAAAAAAAACTTTGGCCTAAATAAAAACTTTTCTATACAATAGGCAGCCATGATGGTGAAATAGTTTAGAAGGGCACCGATACAGCGCAGCTCCCAATATTTTACAGCAGAGAAGAAGAAGGCAAAAATGTTTTCAAAAAATGCATGGGGGAAAGTCTTATACCTCAGTTTCATGCTAAATGCATATTAGCATTACACAACTGTATCAATACACACAGGGCCATCCCTTTAATGAGGCAGCCTCTCTTTGAGTCACATGGGGGGGGGCAGGTAGAGCAGCATGTGTGTCTGCTGTCCCCTTACCGGTCAGAGTGTCCCAGGTTGCTAAGAACTGGGTGGGGAGATGTGCAAGGGCCATACACATCTTCCTCCCCAGCTCTTAGCAACCGGGGATGCTCTGGCCAGTGTCCCGCTCAGTTCCCGGCAAACAATGACATCATTTCTACCACTTTACAAAACACTGGTTTGAGTATACGGTTCAGGTTTGGTCACCTATCCACAGGAAAGATGTCCTTGAACTTGAGAAAATCCAGAGAAGGGCAACAAAATGAATAAAGGGGCTGAAGGACTTAAGCTATGAGGAAAGAATACAGAAATTGCACGTATTCACTCTGTAGGTGTTTAAGAGGGGAATATGATCTTCATGTACACATTGTTGAATGGCAACGGTAGGATCGGTAAAAAATTGCTTACACTAAGGCTGTGGTGCGAACCTTGGCACTCCAGCTGTTTTGGAACTACAAGTCCCATGAGGCATTGCAAGGTTCTGACAGCCACAGACATAACTCCCAGAGGCAGATGCATGTTGGGATTTGTAGTTTTGGCACAGCTGGAGTGCCAAGGTTCGCCACCACTGCCCTAAGGTCTCTAAAGAAGACAAGAGGCCACCACTTGAGTGTGACGGTAACAAGGTTTAAGCATCTCAATAATAATTATGAAATTCTATCTTCTCTCATTCTGCAAATGCATCCTTTCTAGTTCAAACTAACTCAGGCTGCCCATAATTTTGTTTAGGCATCCTCTAATTACAGCTCCAGATATCTGCTAATCTGGTCCATTTGATCATTTATAGCCCTTACTAGGGATGTTCAGATACCAGTGCCAATTCTTGGCATTTTCACGAGAACTACCAGTGTTGCCGCAGTTGCAGCTCTGGCGCTCCACCACTGTCCTAAAATCATTTGGAAAAACTGTCACATGGCAATAAACAAAAATGTATCAGTACTTATATCTGTAAATACTTGGACAAGTATCAGTACTTGTATCAGTACTTGTACTTGAAAAAATGGTATCGTGCATCCCTTATTTATAAAAAAATAAATCATACATTAAAACAGAGATGTAGAAATCCCAGGAGCTCCATCCTTACAAATGACAGCTGCCTCCTAACTTTTGAATTTTTCTCTAGTCTAGTCTTGGAGATGGAAAAGTATCTGCACTTGTACCGAGTATGGTACTTGGTATCTGAACATCCCTAGCCCTTACATTACTACATTCATTACCTGAGTTGTGCATTCAGGCCTTCCTTGATAACTAGCTGAATAGAACAGGCCTAATTGTTTAGTTAGTACATGTCGTAAAAACGTAATGAAAAATAAACAGCCGATCACCACAGTAATTGCCCCTGAACAGTCCAGTTAATTCTCTAAAGATCGCCTGGCCGGATAAGAAAGGAATGTCTGGTATCTCACTGAGCCATAAACTGAAAGTTCCAATCTGACCCAATTTTCATAACTCTGAATTTGGGGATGATATAAAAAATTAACTGTGTATATATAGCTGCGTCTCTTCGAACGAAATCTGCACATGCCAAATTCGAAGTGTCTATAAAATCCAGACAGCTAGAAACACATAATTCCCTTTGTGAGCCACCCATAATTCATAAATCTATCAAAGACCACATGAAACAAATGTTGTAATGCACAATAATCCACAGTTATCATGGGCTAAACTATCAAAATCATGAAATGTATTTCTTAATATGAAATTGACAGTTTGGGAGGGGCAGATGACAGGATCATAAAATGCTTACTTATTAAATTAAATCCTTACTTATTGGCTTATGGGCTGGCTCAGTGACACCCCCTAGAGGACTGGCAAAAAGTGGCTGAGCAGGGCAGTCAGCAACTCTCGTTTAACATCAAGAGGAAGTGCTCGTAACACCAAAGCTTTCATGTAACATCAAAATAAAGGCTGTCAGGTGACCATCAAGAAGAAGCTCAGCCTTACTCTGAGAAAGTCTAATCCAGATCCATCTTCTGTGTATTGAATTGGACTCTGATAGAATCTACCAAAACCAGGACTTTGTTAAGTACTCCCATTTTATTCCTTTTTATTTTTGTTTCCTTATATTTGTCTCTCTTTTTGTAACATCTTTTTCCTTAACTTTTTCTGCACCTTTTCTTTTATTAACCACCTCCCGTCCATTGGCCTTATCTTAAAACGTCCCCCCCCCGCATGGCTGTTTACATACAAGCAATCGGGCGTCTCTAGAGACGCCGATCGCTTGTACTAGGTGCGGGTGTTGCCTCCCCCGCCGCCGCAGGTGGTCCCGAGATCTGCTATGCCCGGTGCGGTTGTGATCGGCATGGCGACTCTGCCTTATGGAGATCAAAGGGAGTTCAGCACACAATCTCCCTTTGATCTCCTCTCCGGTCCCCGAATGCAGGAAGTGATATATATTACATCTCTTCCGCATTCAGCTGTCATTCCCGGCTACAGATGCCAGTGAGAAGCTGCTGAAGCAGATCTCTGCTTCATTAGCTTCTCTGGGGGTCCCTAGGTGACATTAGGTGTCTTGGAGACACCTGATGTCTCCATAAAGAGGATCTGTCATGTGAATTGGGGGTTTCTTAGCCCCCTTTGTGATAGCAATAAAGTTAAGGGTAAAAAAAAAAAAGTAAAAAACCATCCAAAAAATAGTCACAAATAAAAATAAAATAAAGGTAAAATAAAAAAAAATTTACAGTCCCCCGCCCCCCCCCCCCCCCACATAAACATGTGTTGGGTGTGCCTACATGCGAAAACGACGATTCCGCCTATTGTGCCGCACATGTTACATATTGCCATGAACGTCGGAGTGTGAGCAATAATTTTAGGGCCATTAATTACTGATAACATTAAACTGCAGAACTAAGAGCAGTAAAAGCTTTTAAAGTATCGCCTATGGCCAATTTTGAGTGTGGCCATTTTCTGTGATTTCGCGGGCGCGCGCACTTTTAAGGCTTGACATGTTTGGTGTCTATTTACCCGACGTAACCCCTCTTTTACATTTTACCAAAAAATTGGGGTGACAATAAATGTTTCATAACATTTCATAGGGGAACAGTTTTTAAAAAAATTTTTTTATAGTACTTTTTCTGTTATATAGTAAAAAATAAAACTCCCAGTGGTGATTAAATACCGCCAAAAGAAAGCTCTATCTGTCCCCAAACAATGGTATAAAATTAATTTCAGTACAGCGTTGCATGACAGAATAAATGTCAGTCAAACACCACAGCGGTACCACAGCGCTGAATACTGAAAAATGGCCAGGACAGGTATGGGGTTTAACTTCCTGGTCTTTAAGTGGTTAAACAATCGTAAAAATCCTTAAGCTTATCTCTACTCTCTAAATAAAAACTTAAAGTATCCTTGTCTCCATGAAGAGCGCTACTGTATGGTGAAACCTGTCATATTCCTGTCAGAAAGGACAGTGGTAACATAGGCCTTGTTTAAGTTTTTGAATTGTCAAAGCATTGCTGAGAACGGTGTGTTTCCATTAAAACATGTGGTGGCAGCTACTGTTTTGTGTATAAATGGTTAACTGCAGAGTTAATCATCCCTAATGACAATCACTGTCAGTCTGCTATCTGTTGTCACGCAAGCTGGGAAATCTCTGTGCAGGGTAAGGCTGGGAGTGGTATCGCCACGTTCACAGTGACAGCTCGGTCGGTTCGGAACTGCATAACTTCACGCGTTATTGATGTACAGTGGGTTCGGACCCGCACATTGAGAATGGAGGAAAATGGAGGAATGGAGGAAAATAGGTTTAATCTCAAACTGCATAGGGGATTCTTTACAGTTAGAGCAGTAAAGTTGTGTAATTCCCTTCCCCAAGTAGTGGTATCAGCTGAGTATAGACACATTAAAAAAAACTTCTGTATATTGTATTCCCTTAGAAAGACATCTAGGAGTATGGGAACTTTTAGTGACTCCTACACATGCACACACATAAGTTGATCTTGAAGGGCCTGTGTCTTCATTCAACTTTAACAACCATGTAACTATATACAGTAATGTGAAAAAGGTTTAGGCAGGTGTGAAAAAATGCTGTACAGTAAGAATGTTTTCAGAAATAAAAGTGTTAATAGTTTATTTTTATCAATGAACAAAATGGAAAGTAAATGAACAGAAGAGAAATCCAAATCATATCAGTATTTGGTGTGACCCCCCTTTGCCTTTCAAAACACCATCAATTCTTCTAGGTACACTTGCACACAGTTTTTGAAGGAACTCGGCAGGTAGATTGTGCCAAACATCTTGGAGATGTAACCAGAGATCTTCTGTGGATGTCAGCTGCCTCAAATCCTTCTGTCCTTTCATGTAATCCCATACAGACTCCATGATGACTCTAGCAGGTGCCGGCCAATAGGAAACAATTGGGCGGAGCTAGCTGTCATTGCTAGCTCCGCCCAATTATTTTGTTTTCTCTTTTTTTAAATCTTTTTTTATTTATTTAATTATTTACATTTTTGAAAATATTTTTTGCTCTTTTCATTGATTTGCTATTCTCCTCGGTACCACAGAGGTACCGAGCAGAATAGTTGAGCCGAATGCCGCTCCGTGATTAAGATGTTGGATCGGTTGAGTTGAAGTCCTTCTGCGCTTCGGCTCAGCCGTACTTGCAGAGCATGT